GCCAAGTGGCGAAAGATAGTGACCAAGGGCAATAAAATCTTACCGAGGTAGATGAAGAGCAGAGCAGTATCAGCTGATTAAACAATGAGAAGCAAGGGAGGGAAAAATGAATTACAGAAAGTTTGACATGAGACCCAATTAAGCCAAATCATACCAAGAACATTTAATGATGAAACTGGGAAGGAGATAATAAAGAGATAAAATATGGGAAAGATCTATTATGATTTCTGCAACAAAGTGTTTTCTCCATCAGTGACAGTGGATAACTACATTTAAACTCTAATATCACAGTCTGTGGTATCCTGTGTGAGAAAATAGAAATGGCACTAAAGGAAACAAAGAAGCCAACGATAGCTGGACTCGACCCGAATATATGCAAAGAAGGTCTGTGCTAGAGGTTTCAATCAATCAATTATTTATTAATTTATTGTTAAGCACCTACGACATGCCAGGTGCTGTTTTTGATGTTACTCAGGGAGGAATTCTTAAGATATTGGAAAAAGGGAAGACATCAAGCCAAAAAAAAAAAGTCATGGTTGTTTTTACTACCAGAACATTTTTAAAAAAAGATAGAAGTACCTACCAAACTATATGCTTGCTTTTTCATTCCTGCAAAATTTTTATGAGAATAAGCTACTTATGTATTGAGGAAATGCTTAATAAAAATATGAGAAGGGACAGCTACCCTTTTTCAAGTGATACTTTTTATAGTTACAAATTGACTAAAGAATATTGATAAAGAAGATCCCACTATCCTACTTGTTTGTTTCCCACTATCCTGCTTGTTTGTTATAAAAAATAATTTGACTCAATAGAGCAAAATGCCATCTTAAAGTCTCTCTTCCAAAGGTGTCTGACATGTATGTATCAAAATCATACAAGGTTCTTTGAAATATTGAATAATAGAGTGACTCTCTGATTGTTAATATAAAAGAAAGCATAAAACAGGGAGACATATGGCCATCAAAGGTGTTTACTACTGACATGGAAGATGTCAAATGCAGAGTCCAAGTGGAAGAGACAGATTCTATACATGATGAGAAGTCTTCTGGTTCAGAATTGTCTAATTCCTGCCCTAAAATATAATTAGGAAATGTTTACCAAAATAAATAAAAACACAATGCAACATAGATAATGTTAATTTGTGGTTTTCTAAGTCACTATTCAGCCTTCAAGGATGCTTTTCTGTTTGAGTTTGATACCGCTCCTGTTTGTGGCTGACTTTGTGCAAATTGCATCAGGCACTGAAACATAGCAGTGTCTCATCCAGGAGGCCCATAATGACTCAAAAATGTTTGGCCTAACTATCCATGCAGGAAAAACCAAGTAAATGAAGAATGCCAGTTGACTAGATAGATAGCTCATTAAGTTGCAGATGGATAGTGAACTAGGTCTAGAATTTATGGGAGCAAAAAGACGTACTGGAGTATATTTTTAAAAAATGGGGCATTGCTTTCAATGATGCCAAGCTCCTCAAAACAGAAACCTATCTTGTACACTTAAATAAATATTCTTCTGCTGACGTTGCATGGCTACAAATAATGGAATGCCACAGTCTCTGAGAATTTTGACGGCGAGTGATCTAAAGGGCAGTGAAGAGATACAGAGTGGATGTAAATGAACTACAGCACATAAGTAGTAATGAATTATGTGTGAAAAATGGGAAAAATAGAATTAAAGAAATGTTTTTCTAGAAAAGGAGATGGACCAATCATGCAGCCAAGCATGAAGGACAGCAGCTCACGTGTAGCTTTGGTAACCATGTGACTTGAGATTCAAAAGGACCCTTCTTGAGGAGGATTCGTGGGAAAATATGGACAGGTTGTGCTGGATAAGACTTGGGTGAGGTGTGATTCTACTATTGCAGAGAGGAACCAACATTGAAGAGATCATAGATTGGATGGAGCACTGAAATATTGGTATAAATATCATACCCAGGAGTGTACTGGAACTAAGTTGAACCTTCCGGAAAACCAGTTGTTAAATTTTCAGTGTAAGCATTTACCCATCATAAATTGGCAAATGCCACAAATCAAGGTTTGGTTTATTGTTTGTTGATTGTCTAGACTTAAAGAAAATGTTAATAGTGTAGATTAAACTTAAAAGTATGTTGTGTGTTATAATCCTTTCCCCACCCCCAGCCAGTAGTTAAACATTTACCAGCATACCACTGATTATACCTGTTTTACAGATGAGGAAACAGACATACAGAGAAAAAGTGGCTTTTTTCCAGGTTAACACAGTTCATTAGTGTTAGTCTTTTGACTAAAACTTAGGTCTCTTAACTTCCGGTTCAATGCCTTTTGCACATACCCTAGATGAAGTCCCAGGTCTTTATACTCTTTTTTTTTCTTTTTTTTTTTCCTTTTTAGGCAATTGGGGCTAAGTGACTTGCCCAGGGTCACGTAGCTAGTAAGTGTCAAGTGTTTGGTCTGAGGCCAGATTTGAACTCAGGTCCTCCTGACTTCGGGGCTGGTGCTCTATCCACTTTGCCACCTGGCTGCCCCCCAGGTCTTTATACTCTTGATAAAAGGAATTCAGCCCTGAAGAAGACCAGATGATTCAGATACAGAGAAAGCTTCCTTGGTTTGGGCTTGTTGTTATAACACCTCATCTCCCTTGCAACTTACTTGCAGGTGCAGACACGCTCTTTAGCTCCACCTTTACTGAAAGCAAAGGGCGTCTTCCTTGTCCTACCTTCTATTCATTAAAGCTGTCAAAGTGTTTCTGCAAAATCCCGGGGTCAGGGTGTGCCCATCCAATATTCATGTTGACATTCAGAAGGTGGGACAGGAACATTCCAGCTGTGTGTACTTAAAGGAGATTTTAGGATTTAGGAATCATCAAACCCAGCCTCCTCATTTTACAGGTGGAGAAACTGGGACTGAGCAAGGTAAAGAGACGTATCCCATTGTCACATCAACAAAAAATAGCAGAGTCAGGATTTGAACCCAGGTTTTTGTATTGCACCAGGGCCAGCTTCAAGCTAACAAGCCACAGATCACGAACTTTCCTCACCCTCTGTGGGACTAGTTGTTGTTTTTATGTAAGATCTGTTTCTAAGTAGCTGCCTTTACATGAGAAAATTAGGAATCAGGCTTTACTACTCTGGTTTAACTGATGCCCAAGGGGGAGCTAATTGTAGTATACGGATGATGAAGTTGTTACTAAATTCAACACATCAGTTAATATTTATTTAACCAATGCTGGTGGGTTCAAGGCACAGCTAGGCATGATGATGTGACATACTCCCTTCCTTCGGTTTCCTCATCCAGCTAAGAGTGGCCTTTTACTCCTCGTTGTTCTTATAGCAACCTGTCTGGATTTCTCCTTGACTATAGGGGACATACTGTTTTTTCCATCTTCGCATCCCCGGTACCTAACACAGTGGCTGGTATATAGAAGATATTTAGGAAACGTGGAATGAAATTGAATTGAAATTTTAAAAAATGGTTGTGGTTCCTGCTGGGACTGAGTTTACTTATAGGTGAAATAATAGGAGATTTCTCCCACCAGTGCCTACAATTCAATCATTCCTTTGGGTTGATCATTTCTCCTTCTCTGATGCCCCTTTACACTGTACTTTCTTTATAAAGTTCTTTCCAGAGGTAATACTAATAATAGCTTAGTGTGAAAGAGTTCAGCCTGTTCTCCTTTCTGTACTATAGGAGATACTAGGACTGAAAAAGCCCCGGGCATCTGGGCCAGGACGAGAGGGAGAAGGGAAGGGAGGAGGGAGAGAAAGAGGGAGAGAGGGAGACAGAGACAGAGGCAGAGAGACAGAGACACACACACACACACACACACACACACTCACGCAGACAGAGGGACAGAGAGACACACATACAGAGACAGAGAGAAATTTCTAAGACTTAGCAGTTTTTTGTGTAGCTGGTCATGGCCTCTGACTTTAGGGAGCTTCTTACACACAAGACAAAATTTAATCTGAGGCAGCTAAAGAAACACAACATAATATCATGGGGAAGGAATTAGAGGTCAGGAGAACTGAATTAGAAAATTCTCCGTCTGCAGCTAACTTGCTGAGTGACTTCTTTGAGGCTCCTCTGGTGACTTAGAGGCAGCTAGGTGGCTCTTTGGGCCTGGAGTTAAGAAGACCTGAGTTCAAATGCAGCCTCAGATATTTAACCAGCTATGTGACCCTGGTCAAGTCACTTAACCTCTGCCTTCCTCAGTTTCCTCAACTGTAAAGTGGGAATAATAATAGCATTTCCTTTCCAGGGTGGTTGTAGGGATCGAATGAGATAACATTTATAAAACACTTAGCACAGTGCCTGGCACATAATAGGTGCTTCATAAATGCTTGTTTCTTTTCTTCCTGTCAATTTCTTGGCCTCAATTTTTTTCATTTTTAAGAGGATCATAGAGTTTTAGAAATTATTCATAGGATTCCAGATTTAGAGCTGGAAGGGAGCTATCAAGTCCAGTCCCCTCATTTTACATATGAGGAAACTGAGGCTCAGAGAGGTGAAATGATTTGCCTAGAGTCGCACAACTAAAAAGTGTTTGAGACAGAATTTGAACTCAGGTCCTCTGGAGTCTGGGTCCAGAGTTCTGTCCACTATGTTTCCAAGCTGTCTTGAAGGTGGCTGTACTTGATGGCATGTATAGTCACCTCCACAGTCCAGGTTCAGAATTACATATAAAGGTGAATTGCATAGACTCAGTCTACAAAATGGATTGAATAATACCTACCCCAGCTGTCTTGTAGGTGACCCTCATAGGTTGTTGCAGAGAGTGAGTGTGACTTAGTGACTTTCAGGAGAGAGTGACTGTGCTACCAGCTTCCTCTGACTACTGCTATCCTATGTGGTAAATTTCCACTTCATGATATTAGAGGTGCCTTACTGACCTGAAAGAATCCCTTTGGTTTTTCAGAGAGTGTCCTTTTCTATTAGTGGATACTTTACACCCTGGGGACAAAGTGCTCCAGAAACACAAGAAATGTCTATATTGTCACTATTTCAATCTATCCCTTTCAGACAACTTTTCCCTGCTACAAGCATTTGCGGGTCGGCTTTGTTTCCTGAGTGGCCGAGCAATGTGTGACATCACACAGCGTCTATCAGGTAAGAAACCCATTGCTTCAAGATCCCCATATCATGGCATTCTACCTTTTGCTGATGTATCCCTCCCATGGTGCCTAAAAACTCCTGCCCTTTCATTTCTAACTACTTTAAACTTTCCGTTCCTTAGTTTACCCTATTTCTAAAAGAGTTGAAATATACATTTCTCCAAGCATTTCATCTTATTGATGTATGAATGCCTCCTGGTGGTAATAAGGAAAAATTGTTGACTTGGGATTAACCAAATTTAAAAATATCTATCTATCTATACACATATATGTATATAATATAGATGTATATGATATATTACATATGTATATATATACACACAGACACACATACATATCTATGATTGATGCCTTTTGTTTTTATAATACAGTCATTTCTGGATATACCTCTTCCCCCATTCCTGGATCTTTCTCTTACCTCTTCCTCCCAGTGACTATTTCCTTGTAACAAAGGAAAACAGTTAAGAAAAATTAGCCCAGGGCAGCTAGGTGCCACAGTGGATAGAGCACCAGCCCTGAAGTCAGGAGGATCTGCGTTCAAATCTGGCCTCAGACCAAACACTTACTAGCTGTGTGTCCCTGGGCAAGTCACTTAACCCCTAATTGCCTAAAAAAACCCAAAAAAACAAAAAACAACAAAAAAAAGAAAAACTAGCCAACACAGTATTCTACATATAAGTATATGTAAGTGAAAAGACATGAAAAGAAGGAAATGCATTTTTTTCATCTCTGGGACCAAAATTCGGCATCATAATTGTATGGCATTTGGCTTTGTCTTATTGTTCTTTTCATTTACTTTTTTGTAAGTCATTATATACGCCATTTTACTGGTTCTGCAGACTTTACCCTGAATCAGTTCATACAAGTCTTCCCATATTTCTCTAAATTTCTCACTTTTGTCATTTCTCTTTTGCAGTAATATTTCATCACATGCATATTCCACAGTTTGTTCAGTCATTCCCAATTAATGGGCATCTACTTTGTTTCCAATTCTTTCCTTCTATAAAAGATGCAGCTATGAATGTTTTGGTATATATGAGACCTTTATTTTTATGACTTTGACCTCACTGAAATATATAACTAGGGGTGGGATCTCGAGGTTATATATAGTTTAGTCACTTTTCTTTTTTTTTAAATAATATTTTATTTCCCCCAATTACATGTAAAAATAAATTTTAATATTAGTTGATTTTTTTGAAGTTTTGAGTTCCAAATTCTATCCCTCCCTCCTTCCCCTCCCCACTCCCTGAGACAGTAAGCAATCTGATAGAGGTTATATATGTTAATCATGTAAAATATTTCCATATTAGTCATTTTGTATAGGAAGACAGAAAGAAAGAAGGAAGAAAGGAAGGAAAAAGCAGTATGCTTCAGTCTGTATTCAGACAACATCAGTTCTTCCTCTGGAGGTGGATAGCATTTTTCATAATGAGTCCTTTGGGATTGTCATGGATCATTGCATTGCTGAGAAAAGTCAAGTCATTCACAGTTGATCATTGTATAGTATTGCTGTTACTGTGTACAATGTTCTCCTGGTTCTGCTCACTTCATTCAGCATCAGTTCATACAAGTCTTTCCAGGTTTTTCTGAAATCTGCCTGTTCATCATTTCTTATTTCACAATAGTATTCCATTATATTCATATACCACAACTTATTCAGTCATTCCCCAATTGATGGGCATCCCCTCAATTTTTAATTCTTAGCTACCCCAAAAAAGAGCTACTATAAATATCTTAGTACAAATAGGTCCTTTCCTCTTTTTTAAAAGTAATTTTTCCAAAATAATTCAAATGGTTTCTGGAAGGGTTAGACCAGTTCACACTTTCAGCCACAGGCTGTCAGTGTGCCTGTCTTTTTGCAGCCCCTCCAACACTGACTGTTTTCATCTTTTATTATCCTTACCAATTTACTTTATGAGAGGTGAAACCTCAGAGTTGTTTTAATTTGCGTTTTTCTTATTATTAGTGGTTTGGAACATTCTTACAATACTTCTTTTGGTAACTATTTGTTCAAATCCTTTTAGAGAATACTTTACCAAAACTCATCTGGAGGTTAACAGGAACCATTTTTCATGGTTCTTTCTGACATCGTTTCTGAGAATAGAGTGTAAGAAAGCAGGCTGTGCTTGTCATGCCAAGCTATTCAGATTTCAGCTAAGATAAGCTGCCCCAAGTTTAGCTTCTTGCATGTGGTAGAGATAGAAAGTGAGCTCAGAGGCGTTTCACTCTTGGACTGCAGTGTGTTCACTGACCCAGGGGCTCCTTTTCCCACCCTGGTTCGATTGATGAAATTGATTCAGAAGAATTTTTTTTACCTACCTTTCATATCGAACCTGGCACACTATTTGACTTTTTGCCCTTCGATGGTGAGTGAAGCTAATAAAGAGGAAACAGTTCTCTACCATCCAGACCTTGTATTCATGATCCTCGTATCTTGGTTGTGTTACTCACTAACTCACTGAAGGGTGTTGGAGTCAGAAGGCGCCTTGGGGACTAAGGAGTCTAAGCCTTGGGCTGTAGAATACAGTTTACATGTAAGGGACTTGATTCTGTGGAGGGGAAAAGACTTATCCAAGGTCATACAAGGTCAGAGCTGGGACTTGAATTCAGAGTGTCTTGCTCCGAGTCTTGTATTCTTCCCCTACGCCTCCGTGAGGAATTAAATTTGCCGCAGTATCTACCGCTAGCCCGGTTAGTAATACTTTACTGCTCAGAGAGGATTGAACTCAACCCTGCAATTCCAACTGTCTGCCACTGACAGTGAAAGAGATGAAAAAGGTCTTCTTGGAAATGCTCCTCCCTCTCTAGCATTGGTGAGAGGACTATGGGTGTGGAACCTTGCCTATCCTGTCAATCACTCAGCCAGTCAACAAAACTCACTAAGTGCCTACTGTGCACTAGGCACTGTGCTAAGACCTGGGAATACAAAGAAAAGAATGGAAACAGGCCCTGTCCCCAAGGAGCTAATATTCATTTTTTTAGAAAGAAGTTTTTTAAAATATATTGTTTCTTACATCACCATAGTAACCCATGCATCCTTCTCCCACCACCTCCCTAAAAGCCATTCCATATGACAAATAGTACTTTTCCAAAGAGAAAGAAAAAGTCATCACAGATGATTAATAACATTGAAAAAGTCCAAAAACATGTGCATTGCACAAACCCATAGGCCTCCCACCTCCACAAACGGGTGGGTTGGGCGGGGTATGTTCTCATAGCTCTTCTTTAGAGTCCTACTTGATCTTTATAATTTGGTTATACTCACTTTTGATTTTTTGCTGTGGTGTTCTTTCCATTTGCATTGTTGTAGTTAATGTGCATATTGTTTTCTTGGCTCTGCTTACTTCACTCTGTATCAGTTCATATAGATCTTTCCATGCTTTCTCTGTAATCATCACACACATCATTTCTTATAGCACAGTAATATTCCATGACATTGTATGCCACCTTTGTTTAACCATTCCCCAATTGTTGGGCATCTGCTTTGTTTCCAGTTCTTAGCTATCATAAAAAGTGTTGCTGTAAATATTTTGGAATGCCATGACTTTTTTCTTACCAATAACTTCCTTGAGGCATAGGCTCAGTAATGGAGTCTCTGGTTCAAAATATGCACTCTTTTAAAGTCACTTTATTAACATAATTCCAAATTGCTTTCCAAAATGGTTGTATCATTTCATAGCTCTACCAACAATGTATTCATATGTCTCTTTCCAAAATTCCTCCAACATTGACTGTTGCCATGGAGTCAATATTCTAATGGAGGAGACAACTTGTACAAATGTGTAAGTTCGTGCAGAATATTTGCATATAAGTACGTACAGAATATATGCAAAATGAATATAAGGTAGTTTTGAGAGGGAAGGCACTAGCAGTTGCAACTGGGGAGAGGTCAAGAAAGGTATAATGTAGGAGACAGAGCTTGAGTTGAATCATGAAGGAAATCAGGGATTCCAAGAGGTGAAGGTGAGGAAGGAGTGTATTCCATAAAGAGAGAGGAGGAGATATGGGGTATTGTGTATACAGAATATTGAGTATGCAAGTATGGCTGGATTGCAGAGTACATGGAAGGGGGGAAATGTGTCAGAAGACTGGAAAGGTAGGAAGGGGCTAGGTCATGAATAGCTATAAACCCAGAAGCATTTATATTTTATTCTAGAGGCAATAGGGGCCACTGGAGTTTATTGAATAGGCAGGTAATGTGTTTGAACCTACAACTTTAGTGAAATCACTCTGATATCTGTGCGGATAGGCTTGAGGCAGGAAGATGAAATAGGAGGCTATTTTAATAGTCCAGGTGACGACAGCCTGACTTTGTACAGTGGTTATGTAAGCAGAGAGAAAGGGATGTATGTGAGAGATAATGAAGAGATAGAAATGACAAGATGTGGTAACTGAGTGAAAATAGAGTGACCGAGAGTGAGGGTCCAGGATGACATGGATATTTCAAAGGTGGGTGACTGGAAGGATAGTGTTGTACTTGTCAATAATAGAGAAGTATGGAAGAGGTGTGTGTGTGTGTGTGTGTGTGTGTGTGTGTGTGTATAAGATGAGTCCTATTTTGGACATGCCGAGTTTGAGATACCTCTGTGATATCCAATTCAAAATGCCTAATGGGCAGTTTGTGATACTGGACTGGAGCTCCAGAAAGAGAATGGAATACTGGATAAATAGACTTGCGAGTCACCCATGAAGAGAGGTAGTTACCACATGGGAACTGAGGAAGTCATCAGATGACAATGTGAACAGAAGGGGGCCCCGGATGGAGCTTTGGGGGAGAGCCACAGTTAGAGGGGATGATGTGAATGATGACTCAACGAGGGAGACTGAGAAGGACTGTTCAGAGAGGTAGGAGGAGAACCAAGAGAGAGGCGTCTCATCAAACCCTAGAGGGAATGTCCAGGAGGAGAGGGCAGTCAGCAGTGTCAGATGCTATAGAGAGGCCAAGAAGGACGAGGACTGAGGCTGGCCAGTTTTGCTGAGTTGCTTCCTCACCTC